GATTGCCTCAGCATCAGACCTTACACTAACCAGTCCATCATCAACATAAAAATTTCTTCGGATGAACTTGACAGTGCTTTGGTTAAATCGATCTTGACCTTCTGTGGCTAGATGTTTAAGTCCAAAATTGGCACAGACAGGTGAGGAAGCTGCTCCAAACAAATGGACTTTCATCCGAAAAACTGATGGCGGAGACTCAAGATCACCATTCTCCCACCATAAGAACCTCAAGCAGTCTTGGTCTTCAGGCTTTACATGGAATTGATGAAACATTTGTTCCACATCACACATAATAGCGACTGGGCCCTTTCGAAATCTACAAAGAACTCCCACCAAGGTGTTTGTGAGCTCTGGCCCTGTAAGAAGGTAGTCATTCAATGACATGTCTTGAAATCTTGCCGAGCAATCAAAGACCACTCGCAGTTTCTCTGGCTTTTGAGGGTGGTATACGCCATGGTGGGGAATATACCAAGCTGATTGTTTATCAAGCTCTTCTTCTGGGACCTTTTCTGCTTCACCACGACTGATAATGTCTTCCATGAAGTTCATGTAATCTGTCTGATATTTCTGGTCTCTCTTGAGCTTCTTTTCCAAGCACATGAGGCGTTGAACAGCACTTGGCTTGTTATTTGGTAGCTCTGGCCTGCTCTGTTTAAAAGGCAGAGGCATTTCAAGATGTCCGTCTTCTTTGTGCTTAATTTCTTCTTTCATTTTAGTCAAAAACCGGAGATCTTCTTGCGAGAGATTTGTCTCTTCTCCAAGCCTTTCACTGAAGTCAGATTCCAGCACCTTAAGTATGTCTTCTGGAGCAGTCATCTCCTTAATTCTTGTTTTGCAAACATAATGAACTTCGCTCTTCAACTTGCTTGTTACTTTGGGTTCAGGGGTCACTTGCTTTACAATGATGCGGTGACTTACTCCTATTGCATCACTGTAGAGTTCGCCTGGATCCCCATAGCTCACTATGCTCCAACCTACGTCAGTTTTCTGTGCGAAGGGCTGGTTGTCCTCACCACATACAACTTCTCTAGGCATTAGTGCTTGTGGACAGTTATACCCGATAAGAAGACCGATTTCACATTTCTTCGGCGGGGCAATGTGTTCCGCAAGATGCTCTAAATGAGGCCACGCCTTTGCAGTCTCTGGTGTTGGAATGTGTGTACGATTGGCAGGTATGAATTCACGAGTGTAGACTGTTGGCACTGTGATCTTCTTAGAAGAAGATAACCCTCTTATTTGTAGACCTTTGAGTCTTTTGCATGGTACAATTGTCTCCTTGGAAGACATTGTAGACAGCTTCAACTTGACTGGCTCTGCATTAACATCAAGAGCATCTGCCACTTCTTCAACAATGAATGAAGAATCACTTTGTGAATCTAACAGAGCATAGACAAGGACTTCTTTGTTTGAAATACTTGGCATTGATGCATAAACAGGAACTATTGCTGAAGTCTGAGCACTGTTACCATCATGCACAACTCTATTGGATGTGGTTTCGTGAGTGGTGTCTTGCGGCGATTGTGGCTTTCTTTCCTTACTGCAACTTGTCTCGTCATTTTCCTTTTGCTTTGAGCGATCCTCATGTAAGCATGTGGGGTGGCGCTTTGAGCAGGTGTCGCAGACCATCCGGTTGCTGCAATTCTTGGATTGATGGCCAGGACTCAAACAGCCAAAGCACAGTTTCTCACCTTGTATGAACTTCACTCTGTCAGCAACTGGCCTTGCAGTTAGTCTACGGCACTTGTGCAAGACATGCCCTGTTTTCTTACAAAACATACATGTGCTTATGCTCTTCTCAGTGGTGTTAGTTGTAAAAATCCTTGCACTTGCTGCTTGGTTCTTAGAGGTCACTACATTCTGAGGTTTAGATCTTGTCCTTTCTGGCTCCCCTTGCCGCAAAGCATAGTAAGATGTAACAGGATTACAAGCAATACTAGCCTCCAAAGTCAGGAAAGTTACAAAATACTTGAAATCTGGGAACCTTCCATGCTCCAGCTGATACTGTGTGGCTTTTCGGTTCCATCTGCTGCTTAACCAATCAGGCAACTTGGCTGTCAGTTTTTGGTTTTCAATGCCATCATCAAGAATACGCAGACTCTCATTGTGAGCCATGGCACATTCACAACTGCGTAAAAAGTCCACAAATTTCCTTAAGTCAGCGCTCTCTCTTGATGCTATCTTTGGCCAGGCATGTAATTTGTCTCGGCAGGCTTTGGCAATCATAAAAGGCTGGCCGTATCGCTCATTGAGGAGTTCCCATGCAGCAACATATGCAGTATCTGAACCAATCAGAA